ATCAATATAATAATCAATTTCATGACACAAACTGCGGGAATAAATGCATCAGTACCAGTTGCTGGGTCTCATTATTCTGATCCTCAGTGCTTTCAGCCAGCAACTGAGTCAATTTCCTCCACAGCTGATGAAGCTCTTGGTTGTCTGCACCTTCCTCCTGCCGTGTCTTTATCAATTTGTGCCATGTTCGGGCCACCTATCAAGAAGGAAATTGAAAATGGTTACTTTATCTTAATTATTAAAATGCAATTAAAAATATAAAATCTGCAAATCAAAGTATTTTTTATCTGCTAATACGTAAAAATAGAAAAAGCACAGAACTCCATCTATTATGAACTCCATAAACAGTAAGATAATTGGACAAATCCACTTGGCCCTTATATTAGAAGCATGGCTGAGATGGCAGAGTATAACTGGGAATAATGACTACATGCCCCCATCCTCATAACTCACAGCATCAGTTCTGGAGACACCACAAATGGGTCACTAAATTTTACAGATGGTACTTTTACTTATTTTATTTACTTCTGCACAGCTTCAAAAACTTTTTGACATTATGATATCTAAAATTTGAATTCCAATTTACAGCTTTCAAAGCACTATAATTTATTTTAATAACATACTACACATTAATTTTTAAAAATTTTTCCTTAAGCTAAATGAAAGCTTTCCTCTAATAACGGTTTTATTATAAGAAATCTACTACCCCAGCAAATCATTAACCAACCTCTACGTGTTTCTTTTCTTGGTAATACAGATCCACAAGTTTCTTACAGACATCACACCACTTCTGTTTGTCAACACTTAGAATAAAAAAAAAAGGATTTTGAATCTGGTTAATGAAAATAAACGAGGACTTAAGACATAAAAATTTACATATCCCCAAATACTGTCAGGCACTATTTTAAATTAGAACATATTCTCTATCATACTACAGTGAAATTTTATAAAATGAGCCTCTCATAAAAAAGAAAAGGTTTAAGAAATGTTATTTTTCATTATATTGACTGAAAATAATATCAAAGTTCTCAAATTAGTCAAGCCTCTGTTTCAACCAAAATCAAAAGATTCTGTAACACTTTGAAAGAAAAGTAATTCCCAGTTCCCAGTAAATGTTCAGATTACTTCTATATAATTTTTAATCAGTTTATTCTAATTCAAGCTTTTAAAGAAACTAGCTTCTCCCCACATATTGATTACCTTTCATAAAGATCCAGGAGCTTTTGGTAAACACCAGGTAAGTCATCCTTAGCATTTACATGATTACATTTCTCATACAAGCTTGCTAACCCCTAAAAAAAAAATAGTAGAGATTATTCTTCCAAAAATATCTAGTGTGCTCACATTTATTTTACTAAATAAAGTGACAACCAATAGAGATTATTTATGGTAGAGATTATTATAATTTGTGGATGGAAGCATATGTCTGGGATTTGCCTCCAAATAACTATGAGTAGGAGAGAATAGGAAAAAGTATAGATGGAAAATATTGGCCACAAGTGGATTTTCACTGAGGCTGGGTTATGGGCACAGATGGGTTCATTTTACCATTCTCTTTACTTTTGAAAATATTTGAAATGTCTCACAATAAAAAATACCTTTTAATAATTATTATGCAATCTTAACCCCTAAGATTTTACCACGTGACACTACTTTTATATGGCCAAACAAGAAAAACCCAAGTAGTCTGTGGAAATGGTCATTTTTGCTTCAACTGAAGATCAGCTATCCTAAACCAGTCAGTACATAATAAAAGCAGGCACCAGAGATATGTTACCAGATATGCTGACTCATGTTCTGGTTCATGTGAACCTGAGACAAACAGGCTCATGTTCTCTAGGCCTGCTACCTCCTATTAATCACAGTTTCTAAGATGTGATTGAGATGAAACAGAATTATTAAATATGAAAAAGCTGGAGAAGCCAAGTAAAAAGCACACAGACTATTAAATAAGAAAAAAGATTTTAACTAGTACTCAAAGGTACAGAGTTTCAAAATTTTGTATAATTTTTTAAAAAGCACATTAATATACATTTCTTCTTCCCTTGGGTAAGCATAAAGAATATTCTTGATATATCTCTCATATGCACATATAATTAAGTTGGAGATGTATATGATCATGTTTTAATTTCTGTCGTAATGTGGACACTGGATTGGATGTTCAACAGTGATAAAAAGCATCCTTGGCATCACTTTTTTTGAAACTAACTTCCAGGTTTAGAAGATCAATAAATGTAATTTTTTTCCTATGTTGGGTAAATGGAGGCTTAAATGCTTACTATAAAGCTGTTACCCCTGTTTTTAAAAATGAGGAAAAGTTCTTTCCTATAACTAGTTTAAAAAAAAAAAGTCTACATACCTGCCAAGCTAGTAACTGGTCTGGCTCTAGTTCTGCAGCCTTTTTATAGGCGCCCTGGGCCTGGTCAGGCTGTTCCAGCTCGGCTGCAGCAACACCAATAAAAACCCAGGCATTGTAGTTATTTTTCTCTTGTTTTAACACTGTCTGATTAAAACATTAAAAGAGAAGGTCATTAAATTTTGGGAGCTAATGTACAAACAACAATAAAAAGACCACCTACTTAAAAGTCAGGAAATCTGGATCCGCCACTAACTGGGCAATCTTAAGAATACCACTTAACCTCTCTGGTCTTCAGTTTCCTCAGGAAGAGAGGGAGTTGGACTGGATCAGTGATTGTAAGGGATCTGAAATATGAGGCATATTTTTTAAAAGCTACCAAAGTAATCCTGATGCCTCTACCAAATGCCTCCCTCTGCCTCGTGAGAACACTGGATATAAAAAGAACAATAAGACTGTTCTTACCACCCAACCAACCCACCTGCCTCCACGCCACACTGCTACTAGTCACTCACAAAACCACTTTCAATATCATTTCACCTCATCCAACGCCCATATTTTCCTTCTCTATGATAACATTTCCCCATGTTACACAGATTTTTCACTGAAATTATAGGCTAGGAAAGTAGGTTGACTCCAATGTGACTGTACCAAATACGTTAAAAAAAAACAGTGGCAATGAATATTTAAACAACACCTGTCAACTAGAATAAAAATTATATGCAGAGTTATTTCTTTCAGAAGTAACTACTACTTGCTCAGGTAAAAGAGTTTGAAATAGAAAGCAAAGATGTTCCAGTGAAAGAAAAACAAAACTGGTAGCTAAAATGAAATTAGCTTGTAAGGTTTTACATATTATAGAGAAAATGAGAACATTTCCATGAGTTGAGCCAGTCAGATTAGGCTTATGTGCATCCACGTAATGCTTCTAGCAATCTGTCACCAATATATCTTACAAATTCCATCATATCCCATAATGCTAACTCCCAAAAAACCAACAACAATGAGATAACTACCAAAGCTAAGCTCCCAACACTGGGGCCTTATTAACACTTGTGACCCCAACACCAACATAACTGCTGAACAAATAACATATGCCATCGTCAACCAGCAATCAGTAAGGACCTGCTATCTGCCTAATGACCAGGTTTTCAGAATCTGAAACAGACTTTTAGGGAAATAATTATAACAATGTAGTGAAAGCAGATATGGAGTTCTAGGATAACATAAAGAAAAAAGTGCCTGACTCCAAACTCCATCTGCACAAGCCAAAGGAGGCTCTCTGAGGTATAGAGGCACATGGGCAGACAAGGTGCCAGATAAGACAAGACAAGGCAAATACACTAAGATGCACCATCTCTTCAATAAAAATATCACTGAGGTTCAATCAACATTCTGCATTACTACACCTAAGTAATTACACATTTGCCACTAACTCCTCATCTTTGCTTTCTAGTTGAATCTCTCCAGTATAAATTATAAGCTTCTTGGTGGAATTCATATCTGAATCAGAAAGAAGACTGCTGAGGTGCTGCTGCATATATAACAGAAGCAATCTCCTTTGTGTATTAGTTAGATAAGCCCAGTGCTGAAGAAAACAGTCCCTCCCCCTCCCCTACCTCCTTCTTCTCTCACCCAGTTTGAACAGACTGCCCACTCTCTTCTGTGTAAGAGTCAGTTCTGTAACAGCTTCCATCCCTCCTGGGCTCACTCACCACTAGAAGCCTAACCTCTCAAGGGCATCCTTCACCCTTCACCCCTTAAGACTCTCATCCTATACTGCTATGCATTTCCCCCAATCTTACCCAATTCTCTCCCTCTCACTGTCCTAAACTTTTTATCGTAACCTCTAGAACTTCCAATCTGGACCAGTCACGTTCCCTCTATATTTTTAACCTTTCTTTTAACTGTCGCAAGTTCTGCCTCAAAGAAACTTGGCTATTCCCTTATGGATCTCAGATGCTGCAGCTGATTTCTTTTTTTGTACATCCCACACATCATGGAGAAGGAGGTGAGGAAAGGGTTCTCCTTGCTCACACTGTCACCTACATCCTTCTTCTGCTCCTCCTTCGAAAATCCCAATACCTTGAAGGTCGAGCCATCAAGCTACACTATCCTTCTTGTTGCTACCATCTACCAACCTTCTAGGAAGTCCTCTTTTCCTCACTGAAAATACTGTATCCTTCCTCTCCACTTCATTCCCTGTAATCACTCTAACATTTACGTGGATGACCCACTGAACACCAAGGTCTCCCACCTACTTAACCTCGGCACTACTCAACCATCCAAACCCTGGATTTCCAACATGCACCACCCCTATCCTCCCAGTTCAGTTACTGTAAAGGGGACAATTCTTTAACCTTGTTATGCCCATTTTTTCCTACTTCACCCCCCTCTTCCACTATCACCTCATTTCTCAATTCTTGTCTCTCCTTTCCCAGCTTAGACTCCACGATCCATCACTGTCATCACTCCTTTGCCTCTCTTTCCCCTCACCTTTCTTACTATCCATAGTTGAATTACATCCTGCCCACCTACCTCCAAGCCTGAGAAGTTGAACATGAAGGAAGAAACTACACAGCTGAGTTCACTGATTTCACTTTAATAACAGGAAACTTCAAATGAACATTCATTAGAGCCTGGGAATCCTTCCAGTCCTCACTAGTAAGTTCCTTTTCCCACTATGAATAATAACAATCTCACAATCTTCTTTCATTTCAAACCTCCTATACGACTCCTCCTCCATCCTTAGCTTATACTTCACTAGGAAAACAGAAGCCATCAGAGGGGAACATTTATCTTCCCACCCTCAAATCTACAAACCTGACAGCTATAAATCTCCAACTACCTTCCCTCCTGTTAAGATGAAAAAAGTATCAAAGCCCCTCCTCTCAAGCTCTGGGTCCCATCCCACTCACCTTCCCAAGAACTTCACTCCCACCACTAGCCTGCATCCCTCCTGCACCTCCAGCTTCTCCCTCTGAACCGGAACATTCCCATTAGCATATAAAGGAACTTCAGAATCTTGATTCTCCCATCCACAAACCAAAGAGAATTAAAATGTCAACATACCATTAAAGGATTAAGATATTAAGATACAACAGTGTTCCGTGGTACAACCCATCAAAAGATACCAAAGAGACATTCAGGTTTTGAGCACTTGTCTTTGATTAAGTTACCAAAACAGAGAAAGGCAAAAGTAGCCTGTCCTAGTAAGAATCTCACTCTGATGGTTCTACTAAATGGCCTGAGCACTTCTGTTATACCCAGACAGTAAATGAGTCACATATTACAAATTAATTATGCTTATAAACGGGTAACATTTTTTTGTGGAAGAAAAAAATATCAGTTACCTTACAATGTTTCAAAGCTTCTTTGTATTCTTTGTTTCTAATTGCATCTCGAGCACTTTTTAGAGCAGTCTTTACTTCCTTGCTGGACATTCTGTCAAAATTAAAAGCCTGAATGAAACTACAGTGATAAGTACTTAACTGTAACAGTTCCAACAAACTTAACAAACTTTACCTCTGAAAAATGCATGTATAATTTCTTCTACATGAAATGTTCTTTCCCCCTAAAATAAACATAGCTTATTCTCTCATCTTTTCAGGTATTTACTCAAGTCACTTCCTCAGTGAAACCTTCCCTGGCCATATTATTTAAAATTTCAACACTTGCTTCTCTGCACTCCCAACCACTCAATATTCCCTAACCTCCTCCCTAACATTGCATTTATTTTTCTTCAAAGCACTTATCATCATCTAATATAGTATTATATATTTTACTTATTTATTTGATTTGTGTTCTGTTCCCCAACTCCACCAGAATGTAAGTTCTATGCAGGTAGGGATTTTTGTTTGTTGTTAACTGCTGTATCCTCGGCATCTAGTATCTGACAGATTGAATATACTAAAAATGTTTGTTGAAATTGACTTGTATTTGAATTATACTTACTCTCCATATAGTAAACTAAAACACATGTGATCTTATGGACCAAGACCCCAAACACACACCAATCTCAATCCAATTTCACACAAAGCAGGCAGAGCAAGCCCAAGACATAGAGTAAAAACACTAATACAGATAAATTTCAGTAACTATGATGTAAGAGCTTAAGAAAGCATTCTGTTTTAATGTTAGTTTCTATAAAACATAAATTAGGATATTAACTTTCCTCACAATAAGGATTACTTTAGGATTACAGTAATACAGTATTCTTTATAATTAAGTATATTAATTTAATTTTAAATAAACTAATATTTCTTAAGATCTCACAACTTACACTGCTTTACCAGTAAACAAGTCAAATTCAATCACAACTCAGTGTTGGAAAAAGAAACATTTGTATTTTTTTCCAGCTCCACTGAACTCTAACCTCAAGAAGGTAAAACAAAGCTAGGTAAACACTAGGTCATCATAGACTGCTGATGTTCAAGGCAGCAAAATGACAAAAAGATGGCTCACTGACATGATATACTGACAATCCTTTATGTCCAAAGAGGCTGCGGCAGAAGTACAAGATCAAAGAAATTCAAGAAGCTAGGGAATTTTTTTAAAACACAATCCTTTTGACTTAAAGAATTTTAGATTCAAATAATATAAAAACTAAGATATCATAATATCAATTTATTTGCAGTCAAAATGAGATTCCCTAAATAGGCAGAAAGGTGACTTTTTACCCAGTTACAACAGTCATACAATTAAAGCAACATATTTCATGTGTTCTTTTAGAAACTTCTCTGTTACCTGAAATTATCTTGGCATAAATTTATAGACGCAAACTTCAGAAGGATTTTTTTTTTTAATAGTCTACAAATCTTGTTTGGAGCAGGCAATAAATTTCTTTGCTGATTTCACATTAAGTTTCTCACACCAAAGTTATCTTTGGTGGATAAACCTGCAGACTAAAAAGAAGAGAACATCAAAGATGATGACAAATAATCTGGACCAATGGGAAGGGATAAAGAGAGACATCAAGGGAAATAAAAATCAAGAGATATCCATATCAGAAAAGAATAAAAACAGCTTCAAGATATTAAGCAAAAACAAACAGAAGAATGCAAGATTCCCAGGACAAAGATCACCAGGTTTTCTATCATCTAGCGTGTGATTGGGTTCGAGTGCAATAGGAGCTCGGAGAAGAAAAGAAGTGTGGTGTGAAGTAACCACAGCGACTAGGAGGAGAAAGGATTTGAGAATGGCGGGAGGAAGGAAAGTTACTCCAGTCAGAGGCATTGCAGCAGAGTCAGAAGACAGAAATGAACGTGGCACATGTAGGAAACAATGAGGAAACTGGGCTGAGTGGAACAGAAGGGACTTGCTTAAGAAGAGAAGAAAATTAGGCTGGGTAGGCAAAGGAGAGCACCAGATTGCAAAAGACCCTCAAAATCAGACAGACAAGTCTGGATTTCAATGGAGTAGCAAACACAGAGCTGTCAAATGCTTCTAAGTAGGTAATCTGCAAAGACCGTGTGGACAAACTCCACTCTTCTCTTGGTAACCAATTCTACCGTTCAGTCCCCTTCTATATCCCTATGTGTCCCCACACGTAATTACAACTACTCTTGCTGCAAGGGAATCCTCTATCCTTCTCTTCCTTTTCCTTCTTCATTTGATTCCACATTTAGCATAACAAGCTAGTACTGAGGCCCTCTCTCTTCACCTGAAATACATATATATACACATACATATCACTTTCAGGAGATTATTTTTTAAAAAGACAAAATAATCTACCACTTTCTAGTCTTGAAAGTTTCCTCCTCTTTTGTGGGGAGGTGGCGTGGAGAAGGAAGAGGCTCATTCACTCATTTTCTAAACAGAGCTTTACAGGGCGCCTACTAGGTACCATCAAATCCATTTCCTTCACAAGAGTATAAAACCCGACTACACACAATGATTCCACATAACCTCACATTCGTCTACTTGGGATACTTCCCTCTATTCCCAGCATTCCCGACACTCCAGAGAAAAATCTAGCTCTCTTACAAGTGTCCTTAAGAGTCTCTCACAGCTCCACACACTTCCCCTTATACCTCTCCTCCCATTGTTTCTCTGCAAGCTCAATGATTTTTTTTTAAATAAGAGCATTTCTTTTGCACATTTTCACTCAATGAAAGTTTTTTTTTACTACCAACCTAAAGGATTTTTATTCAACACATCAAGAATAAAAAGTAGAAACAACTGCACTTTAAAAAAGTTAGAAAGTGACAACCATGCCAAAAGACAATGATATGCCTCAGAACTAACAAATACAGGCAGATGAACTGATATGTCTACATACCCCAGCTAAAGCTATGGGAACTTAAGTTACATTCAGTTGTGCAGATACGAAGAATCCACAAAGTAAAATTTAAAAGAATACTGATAAAAAAATAGTAACAATAATGACAATGGAAGTTAATTACAGAAAAGCAACATATGATAACTTTAAACCTAATGACAAAAGTCTGAAGGTACTTGGTGATGATCTCTAATCTGGTGTGATGACCTCTAATCCAGTGTGATGACCTACACCATTAAACCTTCCTTCTGACAGGAACTGGTACTTACAATCACTAAGTAAAAGCAGACTCCAATTACCTATTATTTACCATTCTAGACATTTACCTTTTACCTACTATCACTACCTCTATCTTCTTTTTAAACTGAGTTGCAGATTGTCCCTTAAATGTTTATCCATCTAAATTAAGTAAAACATAAGACAAGCACATTAAAAAGATGATGTACATAACCCAAAACATAATGAATTCAACACATAAGATTCAGGTCCAATTTTCATAATTCATAATTTAAAACATAAGAAATAATTATATACAATTTTTCACCATTTTTCTCCCAAAGAGACACTAATCTTAATCTCCAAGTTTCTGAATTGGTCTATACTGTGTTCCTGTAGCTTCAAGGTGATAAATGGAACTTCCATAAGCAATCAGAAAGATTTGGAAAATTCCATAAACTCAAAATACACTGACTTCAGTATAAAAAACTGAGCCAGAAGAGAGTATCACCTACTTCCATGCTACTTTGCTTGGAACGTAGGGCAATTAAGGGCACTTCTTTATTCCCAATTTGCAACCTGACTACACTAAGGTGAACCTTATTCTAAGCCACATAAGGAATTATAAATATGAAAAAAGTTACCCACATCATGCAACTAGTTTGTAACTTAATGAAATTAGAGCAAAGTTTTTTAAATATGAAAAATCTGAACAGCCATCTGAAATACTACATGACTACAAAATCTAAGTATCTTTTGATGGCAAATCTGGAATGGATTCTGTCAGACAAAATTCATCTAGAATGCTTCCTGGAAAGAGTGGAGGTGGTTTTGAAAAACTGAATAAAGTTTTTTTTTTTAAAGGGGAAAAAAACGCTACTTTAGAACTAGGAAATGAACAAAATTTAGGTGAAACAGGTGGGGAAGGACAAGAAATAAAAGTGAGTTTACTGTCCTAAAACATACATACTTAAAAAGAATGGTTAGCTCCACAGAAAGGGGTCTTACTGGTAAGAAAAGAAAGTACTGTGATCCCAACAAAGTTCAGGAAAATAAAATAAAAGTTAAACAAGGGGTGAGGAAGTCAAATAAAAGTTAAAACCTGACTCTCCATTTCTTTAAGGCCCCAACCAGCCACAAGTGATTATCCTCCCCACCCAATCTGATTTTACTGATTTACTGATTTATTCAGTCATTTCAACTCTGTTCTTAAAAAACACCCCAGATTTTGTCAGCCCTTTCGTTCAGCCATATCCATCCACCAAGTCAAAACGGATGGATCAAGTCTCCGCAGATCTTGGGCACCTTCACCTCCAAACCTACATCCTTGTTAATAAAGTGAGGATGACATCCCTTACCTGACACATACGTGGACGGAGTACCTGAACACAGTATCTACCAGTTCCGTTCTCTTTATCTCCTGCCACCCTCTCAACCAACTTCACTACTTTTTTCCCCATTCTTAACCTACAATGGTTATTATATGCTTTTTCTGCACATTAAAAATCCCCAGTTCTTCCTTGATCTCTCAAGAGGTAACTTTCTGGTCTATGTTCCTCAAAGATGGCTATCATCAAACACAATCCTCTTCAAATCAGTCATTACACGAATACTAGACTAAAGCCTGCAAAGGAAACCACTCCTCTGAATCACTGAAGCACTTAGTGATTGAGCCACTCAACTGAAATTTAACAGATGCTTTATGTTCTACACAGATGCACTATGTCTTTCAGATCAAAAAAAACCTAAGTGAAGGTAATACATTTTTGGAGTTCCTTACATATCCAACACCTGCTCAGTACTATGACCTTCCAGCTGCCAAAGCCTACTCAAAAATATTTAGTTCTTAGTTTCTCCACAGTCAAAAAGCAGTAATCTCAATTCGCTAAAGTGAGAAAGGAAGAATCCCTTTTTCAGTATTAGCTCATGTTACTTTTTATACTTTGATACTGTTATTAAATGAACAACACACATTGAGATGTGCACATACAATTCAAAAGTACTTCTTCTGACACAGTAAGTTACTGATGAGCAAACATGCTTTATGTCCAGGAAAGAATGAGCAAATAACAAACAAACCTGAAACTATCTGATAATTGCCTGAAGGAACTAGGGAAGGCCTGGGGTGGGGGGGTGGGGATTGGTGGGGAAGGTGAGAAGGGTTTTTCGAAAGGAGAGATTATTCATGTAAAAGTGAAGCTCGATGGACTAATGAATAGTCCAAAGTAAAGGGAGACTAACTTCAGCTCAAAAGAAGAGCTTTTAATAATTTGACCTGTACAAATATGGAATGGGCTGCTCAAAGGAAGTGTGTTTCCCATCACTGGAGATGAAAAAGCACAGACTGCACAATCCACTTGGCAGGAATATCACAGGACAAACTGAATGTCAGATGAGAAGTAAATCTAGAAGCCTCTTAGATTCTTCCAGTGCCATGTGTTTGGGGCCCTAAAATATCCATCTTGACCCAACCCACTCCAGCACCTGCTCCCACTGACACTGTTCAGTGGGAGAGAGAAGAAGAAAAAGATGTGTCCTGTCATCCTGACCAAGAACTCAAAATACACGTTCTGTGAAAACAAGGCCATAGAGAGTAAATAGTTTATAAAATCAATACTATGCCACAGATGAAATTAAATATATTTTTCATAAATCTCAATGTCAGTCAACATTGTTTCTATGGTCAAGTGTGTTCTACATTCCAAATTAACTCAGCACAGATATTTGAAACATATCCTGTTCATGAGGGAGCCTGTGTATTACCTTTCAGTCTGTACTATTACTTCACTTCTTTTCCCTAGAGTGTAAGTTCCTTGTGGTCAGGGACTATTGCTTATATACTTGTATGCTCCCATAGATCTTTAGCATGCTGCCTGATTCACTTTGCTTCTTCTCTAATAGAGATTAGGTTCACTAGAATGCCATGACATTTTGCAGTTTATCAGAGACAGAGCATTGCAATGAGTTAGGGCTCAAATTAAAGTCATACTCAGACTGACTTCCTGTGTAACCTTGGACAAGTCATTTAACCTGTCTAACCCTCAGTTTTCCTATTTGAAAAACGGTGAAAGTGAGGATTACAGAAAATATTCCATGTAAGTACCTGACACACGGTAGGTGCTCAATAAATGCTTAGTATAATGCTCAGCACATAGTAAGTCCCATGCGAGTATTAAATAAATAAGGTCTGTCCCTTATTACAATTATATTACGCAAAAAAACCCGTCAGGTATCAGTATTTAAAGTTGATTTTATGTAAATAAATACAAATCCTCCTTTTCCTGTCAAAATACTAAAACGACTAATGTGATGCACAAATTACATACCTGAAACCATGATAATGAAATCAAGAATTTGGCTCTGGCACAGAAATCTGCTCCTTCCAGATTTCTCTAAAGGAGTTCAACAGTCAAGAGGATCAGTGATTTTTCAAAACCATTGCAGCAAAACAATGGTATTCTGAACCCACGTCAGTTAACAGAACACGTCACACAGCCCAACATTTCTTCCTGTGAGAGCCCGCTCAGCCTCTCCTTTGCACTCTGGCGGCAAGGTGCACCTAAGCTTATTCCCACCTAGAAGGTGAAACTTTTCTTACTAGGCCCCGCTCCTCACTCAACCGAAGCACAATAAATCTTTACTGCACGGACAAGGCGGAGAATAAGGTAAGGCAGGCTAGAAATATCCCTGGGGGTTAAGTATTTGCGAGGCCACACAGTATCCACATCGCACCTTAGGCGGTCCGGAGGCCCTACAAAGAAAAGCCCGATCCAACTTAGCGACAATCGCCCTGCCACCTCATCATCGCCAAGTTCACGGACTCCCCCAACACTCAGCCACGCTTGCTTGGCGCAAAACGAGCAGCCTCGGCCCCTGACCCTTTCTCTCTCTAGGTACCATTTCAAATGACAACGGCTCCAACTTCTGCAAAAGCGACAGCGACCAACACCCACCTGGGACAGATGCTTCTACAAACGCCAAGTCTGGCTTCAGAGCGCATGCGCACTTCCCAGGCATCGCTCACGTGACTGGAAGCAGCTGGGTTTTAGTTTGCTCGGTATTTGATTAAAAGGTCTTAACTGTGAGCTGAGGAAGAGGAATTCCTCCTGTGCGCATGTGCGCACTCCGAGCCTAATGGGAGTTGTAGTTCCATGGGTGAAGAGCTTTGAGGAAACCAAACTGCGGTGTGTGCGATCCCCGCCCTTCTCTTCTCCGGAGGGTGTTCCTAGAGGGAGGGGGCGGGCCTAGCGGCCCGGCTCTCAGAAAGGATCCCGGTGATGCTGCTGCTGTGGGTGTCGGTGGTCGCAACCTCGGCGCTGGCAGCACCAGCTCCTGGGGCAGGTGGGCAGAGGCGGGGAGCTTGGCCAGATGCGCCTAACGTGGTGCTAGTCGTGAGCGATTCCTTCGTAAGTATCGAAAGGCAGGGGAGGGGATGCCCCGCTACACACTCGCGACCGGCCCTCAGCCCTTCCTGTGCTGCAGGCTTTGGGGAGCAGAATCTGAGCTTTCAAACAAGCTTTACCCCGATGCAAAGTAAGAATTGTAATTTGTCTTGAGGCCCCGTACACACATACGTACACCACGTAGAAACGCATATAACACACTTAAAACAATACTTTAGTAAGGTGCACTCCGATTAGTGTCTTTGCACATTTACTTTAATTGCTGGCCTCGCCCAACTAAATTATCTTACTAATAAACTTTCAGTCGATTCGATTGTGGGGGTAAAATAACATTGTGTATCAATATAAAAGCCTATTAGCTTTCTATTGGTCACTGTTCTTTTTATTACCAGGGTATCTGATAATCCTGTTAGTGCTGATTTATATTCGTTAGTTAGTATAATTTGATCAACTTGCCCATATTCCAGATAAACTGTGTCTATGTGTGTTCGTGTTTAATCTCAAATTTGAACAGTTTTTGGAACTTTCCCAAGCCAAAAACTAAACAGAATACTACTATCAACATTACCTGATACTTTTAGTATTATCCATAATATTAAAACTACTGCTTGAATGAATGTTTGGATACTAATTATAATATTAACTTATTATGACTGGATGTTACTGTGGTCACACAGATTGTTGGTGTTAAGCATGTCTGGCACCAAAGAGTGCTTTTAATCATTATGTTGTATTGTCTTCCTCATAGATTAACCCAATGATGATTAAAATTACATAATCTGGAAATACCCATAGATTTGTTAAGAATATTACTTAAAGTAATCTTTATGATTAACTAAACTTAGAGACCAGGCAATATTGGAGAGTAACAAGAAAGAGGTTTATTAGGGAGTGCTCCTGAGATCAAAGGGAAAGGAAGGAAGCAGGATTTTGCAGAGAGAAGTCAAGTTTTGTCATTATCTCATTGGAGGCCTCAGCTGGTCTTATAGGTAGTTGTCAAATTGGAATGATGCTTCAGAACTGTTTACACTTGGGATGAAGGGGCCAGGCCTTTGTACCCTCATGTTGGATGGCCATTATTTGTGGAAAGTTCCCAGGATGGGGCGTCACCTTGGGCAAGGCAACTCTTCAGCAGAGGCAACTTTCATTCCTAAAAGAGAATCTGGGTGCTGCATCACAACTCCTAGAAACTTCCAAAGATGACTGAAATATTTGGTTTATTTTTTTGGTATGGTATGAACACATATTTTATATATTTGTGTATATAAATACATAAATATTCTATGCAGACTAATATCTCTTATAGATATAGAGGTACAGATCCTGAAAAAATAACTAGCAAATCAAATTCAGTAATATATAAAAAGGATTATACACCATAACTAAGTGTGATTTACCCTCAAATGTAAGCTGGGCTTAATATTTGAAAATCAGCCGATGTGATACACCACACATCCATTAAATAAAGGGCAAAAAATACATGATCATTTCAATAGATGCAAAAAGAACATTTAACAGAATTCAGTAACCGTTCATGATAAAAGCACTCAGCAAAGTAGAAATAGAAGAGAATTTCTTCAAACTGATAAAGAACATCTGCAAAAAAGCCAGAGCTAATGTTATGCTTAACAATAAAGGACTGAATGTTTTCTCCTACAGATCAGGAACAAGACAGGGCTATCTGATCTCACTGTGTCTGTCCAGCAGTTGTGCTGGAGGTTCTTGCCAGAGAATTAGACAAGAAAATGAAATAAAAGTCACCTAGGTTGGAAAGGAAAAAGTAAAAGTATCTCTATTTGCAGATAACATAATTTTATATAAAGAAAATTGTAGGGAATCCACTACAAAACTTTTAGAACTAGTAAGTTAGTCTAGCAAGGCTGTAGGATAAAAGATCACAAAAAGCAGTTGTATTTTTATACATTTGTTTACTGAAAAAATGGAAAGTAAAATGAACAATTCTATTTAAAATAGCATCAAAAAATGAAATACGTAGGAATAAATCTAACCAACGAAGTTCAATTCTTATACTCTGAAAACTCCAAAACATTGTTGAAAGAAATTAAAGAACATCTAAATAAATAATTTACACTTATGAATCAGATTTAATATTGTTAATATAGTAATAATCACCAAATTGATCTACAGATTCAATGCAATCTCTATAAAAATCCCTATGACGGTTTTGCAGAAGTAGAAAAACCCATCCTAAAATTAATATGGAAATTCAAGGGACCCAGAATACCCAAGAAAATCTTGTAAAAGAAGAACAAAATTGGAGGACTTGCACTTCCTAATTTTGAAAGTTACCACAAACTACAGTAATCAAGAAAGTGTGTTACTGGCGTAGGTACAGACAGACAGAAATCAGTGGAATAGAATTAAAAGTAGAGAAATAAACTCACATTTATAGTCAATGATTTTTCAATAAGGGTGCAAAGACCATTTAATAGGGAAGAATAGACTTTTCAACAAATAGCACTGGGAAAACTGACTATCCATATGCAAAATGCCTCACACCATTTTCAAAAAGTAACAAAATGAATCAATACATCAAACATAAAAGCTAAAACTATATAATTCTTAGAAGAAAACATAGGTACAAATCTTTGTGACCTTGGATTAGGCAATTTAAAAAATGGGCAAGAGATCTGAATAGATGGTTCTTCAAAGAAGATACATAAATGGCCAATAAGCACATGAAAAGATACTCAACATCATTCATCATTAGGGAAATGCAAATCAAAACCACAATGAGACACCAGTTCACACCCACTAAGATGGCTATAATAAAAGAGACACAATAACTAGAGTCAGCAAGAATATAGGAGAATTGCAACACTTATACACTACTCAAGGGAATGTAAAATGGTGCAGCCACTTTGGAAAACAGCTTAGCAATTCCTGAAATGTTAAACATGAGTTACCATATGATCCAGCAATTTCACTTTGAGGTATGTATCCAAGAGAAATGAAAACCTGTGGCCACACAAAAACTTGTACATGAATGTTAATACTGCCAAAAAAACAAAAAGTGGAAACAACCCAAATATCCATCAACTGATACATGGATAAATAAAATTCAGTAATATTATTCAACAATAAAAATAAATGCAGTACTGATACATGCTGAAATGTATTATGAACCTAGAAGTCATTATGCTAAGTGAGAGGAGCTAGCTACTCACAAAGGACCACATGTTATATAAGTCCATTTAAAAGAAATGTCCAGAGAAAGCAAATATATAGAGACAGAAAGTAGAGACAGAAAGATCAGCAATTGCCTAGGGTCTGGGGGAATGGGAGGAGCAGTGAGTGATGGCTAAGGAATACAAGGTTTCTTTGGGAGAGGATGAGAATGTTCTAAAATCGATTGTGGTGATGGTTGCACAACTCTCTGAATATACTGAAAACCATTGAATTGTACACATTAAATGGGTTAGTTGTATGATATCTGAATTATATCTTAATAAACCCAGTTTTGAAAAGAGAAAATAAGCACCTCTGCCTAGGTCTTAAGGGGCATAAGCATCTCTGCCTCCCCTCTTCCACCCCTGCATCTGCACTATTTATAGTTTTGGTGAGGTTTCAGGAGTGGGAGGTGGGCTCAAGCTGTATACCACAGAATCTAGCGAGGATCTCATTCAGTCTGATGGACAGATCTGAGAAGAATCCTCCGAACAGTTTTGCTGTGATAATAGATCAGACAGTTAAAGTTACTGTTAACATTCTTTCATCAGAATGATGTCTCGAAATTTCACTCGTTTTCCCTGTCCCAGAAGGATGAGGAACTGACTACCAAGTCATGGTTCTAGAAGGAGCAATCCAGATCACAGAACCATATCTACCCAAAGGCTCATCCAGCCCAAGAGGAAAATGCCTGGACCAATGAGAGTCTAGAATAATAGCAGAATGCAGGAATTAAGGCACTTGGTGTCATTTTGGTCACTTTTATACATAAAGCCAATTAGTGGGCCTCTTTTTATTTTTTAAATGCCCTCTCTTTTTACTGTCTCCCTAAATGGTTTCATTCAATCTTACAGTTTTTGATATCATGAATATGTTAAACACTTATTTCACCAGGATAGACTTCCCTGAGCTCCAGATTCCTCTCTGTATTCAGCAGCCTACTTTGTATATCCATTTGGAAATCTCAGACATCTCAAAGGTTTATGTATATCCCGCATTTGGGATTGGCTCAATTTTTAAACTGTACTTTATTTACAATTACATTGAACACATATAATAGCTGTAACTCCAGGACTAGACCATTCTCTTTTCTCTTTCTGTTCTTTCACAAGGAGAGTTCTTCAATTTCTAATTCAATTCCAAAATGCATATCTCCAACCCAAACATCTCTTCTGATCTTCAGGCTCATTTATCTAGCTGCCTAACTGTTATCTCCACTTATGTCCTGCAAGTATCTCTAACTTTGTATCTCCCTTAAATTATTTGCTTGCCTGGAACCTTCTCATTCTTTAGGTCTCATTTCCAAGAGAAACCTTCCCTGTTCACTCTATCAAAGTAGATGTCCCTTGTTATTCTGTATCTTAGGTTTTTTTCAAAGCACATATCCAGTAAGCTGTAATTATCCATTGTTCATTTATCAGGATTTTTTTTTTTGCCTCTGCAATGAGGCTGTAAATTTCATGAGGCCAGGGATTCCGTTTTTATTCACCATTTTATCTCAGATCTTTCACATGTGCCTGCAGATACCAAATACTCAGTAAACATTGGTTCGATCAGTCCATCATCCCCCAAAAGGAACTTTCCAGGAGATCCTTTCATTTATTTACTATATTGAAATGAATCCAAGTGTCACACTACATTGAATTCGCAATATTATGAACCAGAGACTAATAACACTTTCTATACTTTTTCACTTTCAAGGATTCTTAGGATCATACTGAAGTCTTTTGTGGTTAAAATCAAAGGAAATTATTTTCTTCTTTTGTGATATAGTCAATGTTAATTAAATTTCTTTATTCCAGGATGGAAGACTAACATTTTATCCAGGAAGTCAGGTAGTGAAACTCCCTTTTATCAACTTCATGAAAGCACATGGCACATCCTTTCTGAATGCCTATACAAACTCTCCAATTTGTTGCCCATCACGCGCAGGTATGAACATGCTTAATATTATTGGAAGTAGCCCCACGTGGAAAATGTTTTCACAGTTTAAAAGATTATACTCCCATGTAGCATAGTAAGTCATATTTGGCGTCTAATAAAAAAGATTTTAATATATGTAGTGTGTGTTGTTAGTTTGTATTGAGTACTAGAGTTTAAGAGTAGCAATTTTATCACTTAAAATGGTGTTTAGTTCATGTGTTACTGTTTCATTTCCTTATGATGGGTGACTAAGAATCTTTTGACTATCCAGGCAAATTAGGAAATGCTCATATTTCCAAGAAGAGTTCTATTTCCAAGGAAATTTTTCAGTAAGAGACAGGGAGTTGGGAGGGGACTTCAGAGTATATCGCAAAATAATTAGAACTTCTCATACATCAGGTTTCTGGATTTTTCTGTATTATTTCAGATTACATACCTTCTCTCTCTCTCTTCAGTCTCAATTTACTTCTATCCCAAATCCAATTGTTCACGTTTATTATAGGCATAGTTTTAGTGGCAAAATGTCCATAATATTAAGCCACGACTAACTGAAAAATAGGGAGAAAACTGACATTTTTATAAATTCTGTTCTTCGACAGTTTGCTTTTTCCTCTAATTTATGATTGTTTGCTTTGGAACCCATAAATAGCACCCAACAATTTTCTTTTATCCATCAGTTCCTCACATCATATTCTCTGTGATTTGAATCTCAAGTTCTTTCACCAACATTTTCAGCACCATTAACTGTATAATCACCAATAATTAAAGGAAACCTAACTTCTACTGTAAGTGATATTTCAGTGATCAAGACCAGGTATATTTAAAAAAAAAACACTTCTCGTAATTTTTTATTCTTTATCGAGCAAGTGGAATAAGCAGTGGACTAGGGTGAGGTGATGACTCAATGGACCATGTCAAGCAAGTCCCTCAGTTTCCTTATCTATAGAATGCTATATGTGCTGTGTTCCTCACAGGGTTTTCCCAGTATCAAATGAAATAATGAATTTAAAAGTGCTCAATGAACCCAAAAGCTTTCAAAAATGTTAGGTGATACTATTCCTGAAAGAGGCATATTTTGTAGAGTTTGAACAAAGAGAAGGAATAATAGTAATACAAACTAGCATTTATTGCTTTCTTACTGTGTACCTGGCAGTATTCTAAGTGTCTTTATTTATGTAATCCTCGTATTGCTATAAAGTAGATACTGTTCTTATCCCCATTTTGCAGTTGAAAACTAAAGTACTGAAAGGTTAAATAACTTATCAAATGTCACTCAGTAACTAGCATCATTGGGATTCAAACTCAGGTAACCCCCCTTTCCACTTGTCATAAGAAAGCATTTTGTTAGATGAGAAAAGGATTCAGTCCTACTATGTGTATACACAGAAAAGGGAAATGGAAAAGGACTTTTTCTAGTTTTACTGAGGTATAACTGACATATAAAATTGTATTAGTTTAAGGTATACAAAATATTCTAGAGAAAACAAGAACAGTCCCATGAGTTGAACAGTCAAATTAGGCTTACATGCATCCACATAACACTGCCAGCAATCTCACCAATGATACAGCACAAGCTCTATCCTATCCCATAATGGCACCTCCCAAAAAACCAACAACAGTGAGGTAACTACTGAAGCTAAGTTCCAAACACTGGGGCCTTGTTAACTTTTGTGACCCCAACACCAACATAACTGCTGAACAAATGATAAACGCCATCTTCAACCAGCAATCAAAAAGGACCTGCTATCTTCCTGATGACCAGGTTTTCATAATTTGAAACAGACTTTTAGGGAAATAATTATAACAATGTAGTGAAAACAGGTATGGAGTTCTGAGGTGAAAAAAGTACCTGACTCCAAACTCCATCTGAACAAGCCAGAGGAGGCTCCCTGAAGGGAGGCTTCTACTGAGGTATAGAGGCACACAGGCAGACAAGGTGCCAAATCAGACAAGACACAGCAAATACACTAAGATGCAGTATCTCTTCATTACATATTTCACTGAGTCTCAGTCAACATTCTAGATTACTACACCTAAGTAATCAGATCTCTGCCACTGACTAGTTCCCCATCTTTGCTTTCTATTTTTCATTTACTTGTGTCTTCTTCAATTTCTGTCATCAGTGTCCTAAAATTTTTAGTGTACAGATCTTTCACCTTCCTGGTTAAATTTATTCCTAGGTATTTTACCCTTTTTGATGCAATTGTAGACTTTTTGGTAATTCCTTTTTCTGATAGTTCATCTTTAGTATATAGAAATGCCGCTCATTTTTGTATATTGATTTTATATCCTGCAACTTAACTGAATGTATTGATTAGTTTGAACAGCTTTTTGGTGACATCTTTATGATGTTCTATATATAATACCATGTCTCTGCAAATTGGGACAATTTTACTTCTTCTTTTCTGATTTGGATGCCTTTTATTTCTTTTTCTTGCCTACTACTCAGGCTAGGACTTCTATTAGTATATTGAATAAGAGTGGTGAGAGTGGGCACCCTTGTCTTGTTGCTGATCTTAGAGGAAAAGCTTTTAGCTTTTTACGATTGACCATGATATTAGCTGTAGACTTGTATATATTACTTCTATACCCAGTTTGTCAAGAGTTTTTATTATGAATGGATGTTAAATTTTGTCAAATGCTTTTTCTGTATCTATTGAGATGATCATATATTTTTGTCCTTCATTTTGCTAATGTGGTATATCACATGGACTGATATGCAGATCCTGAACCATCTTTGCATCCCTGGAATAAGTCTCAATTGATCATGATGTATGATTCTTTCAGTGTATTGTTAAATTAAGTCTACTAATATTTTGTTGAGAGTTTTTCTATCTATGCTTATCAAGGATCTTGGCCTGTAATTTTTTTTCTTGTAATGTCCTTGTCTCATTTTGGTATCAGGGTAATGTTGACCTCATAAAATGACTTTGGAAGTGTTTCCTCATCTTCTATTTTTTGCAAGAGATTGAGAAGGATTGGTTTTAATTCTGCTTTAAATGTCTGATAGAATTCACAAGTGAAGCCATCTGGTCATGGATATTTCTTTTTGTGAGATTTCTGACTACTGATCCAATCTCCTTACTAATAATTGGTCTGTTCAAACTTTCTATTTCTTCAAGATTCAATCTTGGTAGGTTGTATTTCTAGGTATTTATCCATTTGTCCAGTTTGTTGGTGTAATTGTTCATAGTAGTCTCTTATCATCCTTTAAGTTTCTGTGGTATCAGTTGTAACATCTCCTCTTCAATTTCTAACTTTATTTGAGTCCTCTCTTTTTTTCTTGGAAAGTCTAGCCAAGAATTTGTCCATTTTATTATTTAAAAAACAACTCTTAGTTTTATTGATGTCTTCTGTTGTCTTTTTAGTCTCTACTTCATTTATTCCCACTCTGATCTTTTTTATTTCCTTTCTTCTACTAACTTTGGACTTTGTTCTTCTTTTCTCTAGTTCCTCCAGATGTAAAGTTAGGTTGTTTTTTGAGCTATTTCTTTTTTCTTAATGTAGCCATTTATAGCTATTAACTTCTCTCTTAGAACTGCTTTTTCTGCATGACATTTGTTTTGATATATTGTATTTCCATTTTCACTTGTCTCAAGATATTTTTTGATTTTCTTTTTTATTTCTTCTTTGGCCCATTGTGTTATTTAATGTTATTTAATCTCTACAAATTTCTGAATTTTCCAGTTTTCTTCTAGTGATTGATTTCTAGTTTCATATCATTGTGGTTCGAAAAGATGCTTGAAATAATTGCAATCATCTTACATTTATTAAGACTTGTTTTGTGGCCTAACATATGATCTTCCTGGAGAATGTTCCATATGCACTTGAGAAAACTGTACAGTCTGCTGCTTTTGGATGGAATGTTCTGAAAATGCCTGTTAAGTCTATCTGGTCTAACATGAAGTTTGGTCCAGTGTTTTCTTATTTTCTGTCTGGAAATCTATCTACTGTTCAAAATAGGATATTGAAGTCCTCTAGTGTTATTGTACTGCTGTCTATTTCTCCCTTTAGGTCTGTTAATATTGAAGAAAAATTTACTGAATAAACAATCATAGCTGTAGAATATGGGAGAGAAGACATAGTACACTTAAGTTTTGTTTTGTTCTGTTTTGGGGGGCTTGGGGGGGGGTTGGTGTGTGTATGTGTGTGTGTGTGTGTGGCAAGCCAGTACAAGGACAAGAAATAATGAAAATCCTTGAGGATTTTTGGAACATAAGGGCTGTACTTCATTTGACCAACTTGGAAAATTAACCAGAAATACTAAATCATTATCTTTATCATTGAAAGAAGACTCAAGTCAGACAGGGTTTATATTCAGTTCCATCTGTATTTACTTTAAATAACTTAACCGTAAGCCTTAGAGACTCACCTGTAAAATGGAAATAGTAACTCATTTCAGTTTTCCCCTTGATAAAATGATGTAACCATCAAAAATGTTAGATTAAAAACCTAATGCACATATCTTATTGCAGAATGTGAGCTGTAAACTAGTAGACTCTTCTGTGAGTGTAATTGTCGTAGTCATTAAAACAAATATTTAAGCTTTACGCTAACCTCATTGTTTTCCCCCAGCAATGTGGAGTGGCCTTTTCACTCACTTAACAGAATCCTGGAATAACTTTAAGGGCCTAGATCCAAATTATACAACATGGATGGATGTCATGGAGAAGTATGGCTACCGAACACAAAAATTTGGAAAACTGGACTATACCTCAGGACATCACTCCATCAGGTAAAAAAGAAAATAACAAGAATTCTAATAGGCAGCCCTCTGCTATAATACATACATGTACTCCTTTTGATTGTTTATTTCTCCACACAGGTAAAAGTAAATCTCTTAATCCCTCAATTGTGTTATTTTGGCTCAATCTTTAGCTTTCTTTAATCTTCTTAAAATATTAAAATTACTACTGTGCTGGTAATTTTGTTCCTCTTAAACATTAAAGGTCTATAAAATTGTTTAGCCCATGATTTATTTTGATTTAGTTTTTTTATATAATGGCTACTGTTTAACTGACTTTACAATTTGTTCTAAAGACTATAATCTTCTTGCTAATTGCTTTTGTTAGTTCTTGCCAATGTGAGTCTATTGTAACTTTTTTTTCCTTTTTTTGAAAGGAAAAAAAAGTCCTCAAAAGTTAGGCAACCAAGCATAGTGGATAAAAGTAGAGATCAAGAATCAGATTGCCTACTTTTGAATCCTAGTTTCTCTGTGTACTACTAACGTGTATAAGTATAATCTTGGGAACATTACCTAAACTAACTGAACTTTAAATTCTTTGTTGAGAAGATTAAACAAAAAGAATATGTGCAGAAAAGAGCTAACATAGCAGGTTTGAGACCGCTATCCTTAGAAAGGTTTGCTTTCAAGGTTGGTCCTTGGCTGACACTGGGAACTTGAATTTTAGGAGTGTTCCCTTTATTCCCTAACTGATAAAAGTGACTCAGGATGTACCTAGAGTATTTGTACAACGTGGTTCATGCTAAACAACTGCTTTCCTTCTGGGACTGGCTTTTAGTATTTGCTAGGCAGAGGGTACCTACATGATTAGCCCCCATTAACAACTTGGGTACTGAATTTCTAATAAGATTCTCTGGTAAACAACACTTCACATATATTGTCATAGTTTGATGCTGGACAGATTAAGTGTGTCCTTTGTGACTCACTTGGAAACTCATATCTGGTTTCCTGTGGACTCACCTTAAGTACTTTTTCCTTTTGCTGATTTTGCTTTGTGTCCTTTCACTGTAACCAATCATAACTATGGGTACAACTTTGTGCTGCATCCCAGGAGTCCTTCTAGTGAACTTGGGTGTGATCTTGGGGTCTCCCAATACTTGTGACCCCTGACACAAATACATATTAAGATCTTAGAGCAGTACCTCTTGCTTAACAGGTGCTAATTGAGGGTTATGGTAATGATAATAGTGATTATGATGATGCTAATGATTATAGTAAGAACCAGAAAACTAATTCATTAAAAATAAAGTTCACTATATTGAGATGAACAGTGTTCCCCAAAACTTCATGTCCACCTGGAACTTACAAATATGACCTTACTTGGAATTATCCTGTTTGCTGATGTAATTAGCTAAGGGTTCAAGATGGAATCATCCTAGATTTAGAGCGAGCCCTAACCCTTGACTAGTGTCAGGGATTACTAGAAGAGGAATGGACATGGACACAGAGAGAAGGCAGTGTGAAGACAGAAGCAGAGGTTGGAGTGATCACAGCTACAAGCCAAAAAATGGCAAAGACTGCTGGGAGTTACCGGAAGCTAGGAAGAAGGCAGAAAGAATTCTTCTCTAGAGCCATCAGAGGGAGCATGGCCTTGCTGATACTGTGATCTCTAGTTTCTAGCCTCTAGAACCATGAGAGAATAAATTTGTTGTTTTAAGCCACCCAGTTTATGGTAATTTATTACAGCAGTTCTAGGAAACTAATACAGTGCATTTGGAGTAAACAGATACATATTAATATGAAATCTAGAATAATCTGAGTATTAGTCTTGCTCTTCTTGTTAATGTTAAATCTCTTTCCCTTTCTGTCTTCCAAAAGCTAAAAGATATCAATACTGAAAACACTGAAGTGATCCTGACATCTCTTCCCCACCCATCTAATGTATCACCAAATGTTGTCAGTTCTACTTTTAAAATATTTCTCCAGTTTATTCACTTATCATCATCACCAACCTACCGTCATCTCTTGCCTAATCTATTGAAATGACCTTATAACTTATTTTCTTCTATCTGAACTATTTTCCATAGGCAGCCAGAGTCATCTTTTTTAAAATATACATCTGGTCAAATGACTTACCTGCTTAAAATCATTCTGCAGGTAGGCTAAAATCCCAAATCCACAACATGGTTTATAAGATGCTACAAAACCTAGCCCCTGCCTACCTCCAGTCTTATTTTGTACCACTCTCTCCTTCAATATGTACTTGATCTACCTTTAATTTCTTTAACATGCCTTTTAATCCCTCCGGACCACTGCACAAGCTAGTCCTTTTGTGCAGAATGCTCTTCCTTCACTCGACTCAGCTAACGGAGCAGAAAGAAGAGGTGGGAGGGGCTGGGCTGGAACTCAAGGTGACTTCCTTAGCTACTAAAATGATACTACCACCTCATATCCACTCAGGCAGAGAACCCTTCTTAGAATAAAGGACCATTTGCTACTTTGTGGAAAAAGCAATTGTGATAAAATAGTTTGGCTATGATTATAACTCTAATGGTTTAGATCACACTCACTACTTTGACATCAAAAAAGGAGAAGATTTTTTCTTACATTTTAAATGTAATCCCAAAGGCTGCCTTTATTTAAGTAAGCCCAAACTGCAGGAAATATTCTGTTAAAGGCTATAGTCACTGTCACCTAGGAATTCAGAGTTATAAATAATGTTTCTCCCACAGTGATGAACTCACTAGCAGACTACAAAATGGCTAGGTAGGAGTTCACAATCTGAAGTCCACGAAATCCCTGAGTACCCCCCAACACTCACCCAAAACAAAACTTTCGTTTGAAATTTATCTACTATTATATAATTTGATAACAATATATAGTTGCATAAATATATTTATAATAAATACCATAAAATATAAAATATATAACAGAATACCTATATAATAGTATAATTATTAATATATTATTATTTCATTATAAGATAAAATGCATAATATCAATATTATTTATTATTAAATTATATTATATAAGTATTATTATATAGTTTTAACATTATTGTTTAGTGGCAAAAAATCCATGATTTTTATCATATTTATGAATAGCTCTATGAAAAAGATTAAGGAGCACCAGCTACTATTATTTCACTAAAAATAGAAAATGGTTGGAATTCATACACTTGATCAATTGGAAAACATGCATATATTGAGCATTTAAATAATATATATTGAAAAGTGATGTTCCAACCTGAATTGCCAGAGTTGGTATTATTCATTCAACTAAAACAGACTCTTTTTGTAAGTAATCATATATGAAGGGATGACAGCCTTGTGAATCCCTTAAAAAATGATATGTGTGTTTCTCACAATTTTGAGAAGAACATTTAATGGGAATGAATATGGATTCTATTTTCTCTTAGCAAATTTGTTATGCTGATAGTGAAATTTGCAAGGGTGTGATTCAGAATTGTAATTTTTCCATGCAGGAGACTTACTGGAGACACATTTAGCTGTTAAAATCCCATCAAGAACAATGAGTATGTGTGTGACACACAGAAACAGCTCAATCTCCATGGAACTCTTTAAATTCTGAGATAGGTTATTATCTTTGGAATCTTAGCAAACTGAAGGTTTAAGTCTAGGTTCCTAATTCATTTGGAAGAAAACTATGTTCTCATCAATTTTAACATGTGATATTTTTCAGATGTGACTGTTACTGTGTAAATTAATCCTATGCCACCTGTGGACTGGCTGTATCCGATGCTGCAGCAGTAGAATTTGGCACATTGGCCAGAAAACCCACACAGCAATGGCATATATACAAATTTATATAATAATTAGTTGGTAATGGGATAGTTTTATTTTCAATTTATATTAGGAGGTTTTGTTAAAAAGAACTAATCAAACTGCTGATTGTTGGATAGTGCATTTGTTTTCTGGAATTGATCCAAGGTAGAATAATTCTTCTATTCATGGGCTACTATGGAAACTATTTTGATTATCATATTTAAAAACTGAGGGTTTTTTGCATAAAAAGTCTTACACTGTTATGTAGAGCAGTGCATCTCAAGATTTAATAAGCATGCAGATCACCTGGGCATCTTTTAAAATGCCCTTGTTGATTCAGTGGGTCTGAAATGGGGCCTGAGATTCTGCATGTTTAATAAGCTCCCAGGTGATGCTGATGCTGCTGGTCGGTAGACCACTCTTGGAGCAGCAAAGACATAAGGGACAAGACCACAGAGGGAGGTAGGACAACATGTAACCAATTGTGAATACCTTTATCAGAAACATGTGGTTATTGCTACATCTCTTGAAACGAGAAGCCCCTCTTATATTTCTGCAAAGAGGTAAAGTAAACCTTGGACCACTGGAGGAGCACAAAATGACACATTGAAGCCTCTCTCAGTTTATAGAAAACAACCTCCTTTGACAAAGGTGTTCTCCACGCCTGAGCTCCCACCTGAGGCTACATTAGAGTGCTCTCCTCCACTGTATACTCATGAGAGCCTGAGAGTGAAAAAGGCAAAGAAAAAAAAAAAAGAAAAAACTAGTATGACAACAGTTTTGACCTCATGGACCCACTGAAAGCCTCTTGGGGACCTCCCAGAGATCCCTGGGCCACACTTTGAGAAATGGTGGCATATAGGAAACTACGCATTGTGTGTTCATGCCTATTTGCAAGTAACAGGGTAAATTTATAATGAGAGGAGCCAGTTGAATTATAAAGTATCTAAACCACAGGTAGTTTGGGTTTCTCCTCCTTAATAATACCCTTTTCAATTGTCCTGATTGAAACTATACTCTTAATATTCCAGACAAAGTACAAGGAAATGGAATGGAAAGAAATTTGTTCAAAATACATCCAGTGACCAATTAATTAGAAGTTTATATTTGGAGGAGGTTATAGCAAGTAATGGTGGGAGGTGGGGTGCAGGGAGGGAGAGACAACGCTTTGAACAATAAGACAAAGTAAGTTCAAGCACATGGTCAAAAGATATTATTTCCTGGTGCAACAGTGTGGTCTGGTTAAGAAGGAATGGAGACGTTGGTTGGTTAGTAGAGAGGGGTGTAATTTTAAGAGTTATCTTTCTGTCACAGTAATTGTCATCAGTTATGAGGTTACATATTCACATTCTCTTTCCCTGTTTTCCTCATTAGTGCTACTAGCCAGGAGAACTTTGGGCTGGGGAAAGGGACTCTCTGAGCTGAGAACAGCAGCTCCTGTTAGCAGCCTACTGTGTCTACTGTGTCTACTGCTTTCTTGTGCTTAACAAGGGCCCAGAAGGCTTGGGCTGGAACATTTACCTTCAGCCATAATCCTGTCCCTGCTGCCCTAGTAATGCTGAAAGCATTCATTACCCTCTACATGAATACCAGCTGTTATCAAAATCATGCCAAAAGCACACATACTCATGAATAGGCAAAAAAAGATGCCACTAACATAGAAGGGCAATCACATGTTATTTAGTAAGAGGGCAAAAAATAAAGCTAAGTTTGAAATTAGCCATAATGATAAGACTAGACCAAAATTAACTTGATTTAAGCCTTTTTATCTTTACGGAGACCAACCTGGGTTAAAAGAATCTCATGAACACAGAATAAGGAAATTAAAAAGGGAGGGGGCATAATCTGACCAGAAAGATTAAATTAAATCACACTTATTAATTGCTGTGGAAAAGATGGTACTGTGAGTTCAATACAACCATCTTTCAGGGCAAGAAGTCTTTCCTTGAGATGTTCTAAACTCACTTATGACTGCATCGTTAAGGTCAATTGAGTATAATCAGGACAACAGTCTATACCTGAATTAATCAAAGCCGGCTAAAGGTTCTGATCACCAGTTAGAGTTCTGCACCCAATTCCAATCTGTGGGGCAGTTTCCACACACTACCAGTTCTCTGGACACCAATTGGGTGTCCTACAGTTTAACTCAATTCCACAGGTTAAGAGCTTAGTCCTACAAGACTGCCCCTCCCCCAAACTTCAGACACAAATCATAAATCCACGTTGTCATCTATGCTTCTGACCAACCAATTATAAAATCAGAGGGTCCCATGATCTCTTCCTTGAATATGATTAATTTGCTACAGTGGCTCACAGAACTCAGAGAAAAACTTCACCTACTACATTACCAGATTATTATAAAAGGACATAGGAACAGCCAGATGGAAGAGATGCATGGGGAGAGGGTGCGATGATTCCATGCCCACTCCAAGCCCACACCACTGTCCTCCCCTTCCCCAGCCCTCTCCTGTATGCGTTTTATATACAGGCAAGATTGACTAAATCTTTGACCCCTGGTGATTGAACTCAAGCCCCATCGCCTCTCCATCATCCTCCCTCCCTAGAGTTCAGGAGGTGGGACCAAAAGTTTCAACCCTCTAATCTCTTGGTTGGGACTGGCAACCAGCCCCCATCCTTAGCTGGGGGTCCCAAAATAACCTTATTAACATAACAAAAACACTGCTGGTGTAATAAACCCCAAACTTTCCACTCTTCTGCAGTAACTCTAAGAATAGCCACATATAGTGAGAGTTCAGCAATGATTTAAACAAAAGATTAAGAAACTGTTAGATTGTTTTGATAGTGTGATAAAGTTTACAAAACTTATTATTTCAGGGATTTCTATTTGCTGGACAGAATTAATTGGAATCTGTTAGATAGATGTAATTCTGCTCAAATTCTGGTTTTCATTTTTTATCAAATTATATTGAATATCTACTATAAAAATTATATTTTTATTATGGTGCTTGAATTTCTTTGCCTGTCTTCAAAGGCAGATAAAAGTTATATTTAGCTCATCTATGAGCCATTGGTCATTTTGTGTGGCTTTGAAATTTCCCTTATGTGGAGTATTGTTTTAATATAAAATATTCCTTATTTCTATGTCGATATCTGAATATTTTAAGCTCTTTTTTTCATTGATAGGGCACTTCAGAGGTGTTTGCCTCAACCAAAACTTAATAAAAAAAGCATCCTAGAAATGTACAAGACTGCTTCCTAAACAATTATGCCAGCTAAAATACATACATATTGATTGAGAAAAAGTAGTAGTACTACTACTTACTTATCAAGTAGTGAGATAAAATATTTAGAGAAATTTAATTGATCATTTAGCTTTTAAATTAGCTAAAGAAAATATATCTAGTTTATAATGGAAAAGAAATTTGCATCACTATTAGCTTAGATAGCTTAAATCACAGTTAAAATTGTTCTTATAATGAGAAAAGATATAGCAGGAAACAATTTAAAACATGAGACTTCAAAAAACACATGAGGTACACAAGGGAGGTAAGAATTATTAAATATAGAAATTTAGTGATAGGAGGAAATTACAGTCTTTAGTTAGAACTACTATCTCTTATTCTGATAGAAAAAAAAGAAAAAATGCTAGAAAATTCAAGAAATACTAGGAATCTGAAATTTTTTTATTTTACTGAATATCTTGTTATGAGAAAAAGTAACCTAAATAATCTAAGTTTAAAAAAAACAACATAGATGAATATTTGATCCTTGCTATGTTTTTTGGGTTTTTTCGGTTTTCTTGGTTTTTGAATTTGCAATGCTCAGTAACTTAATGAAATCTAGTGCAGTCTGTCTGAAGTCTAAAAATTGTTTTCCATATTAATCTCATATTTATGCATTGACAGATTTTTTTTTAAACTTTTAAAATACCTTACAATATACCTGTATTTTTGCCCCCTCAGCAATCGTGTAGAAGCCTGGACAAGAGATGTTGCTTTCTTACTCAGACAAGAAGGCAGGCCTATGGTTAACCTTATCCCTAAAAAGACGAAAGTAAGAGTAATGCAAAGGGACTGGAAGAATACAGACAGAGCGGTCAACTGGTTAAGAAAGGAAGGAATTAATTACACTCAACCGTTTGTTCTATACTTGGGATTAAATTTACCACACCCGTATCCTTCACCATCTTCAGGAGAAAATTTTGGATCTTCCACATTTCACACATCTCTTTATTGGCTTAAAAAGGTAGGTACACTGTGTGTGCTCAAAAGGAGAAGTTAGCACTATAGCGGTATGTTATTACTGTTTGCTCAGTGCTTATTATCACTTTTAAAGAAAAATGTGAAAATTGCATATTCTCGTTCAATCAAACTTGACCAACAACTGCTTGACAAAGACTAAAGGGACAATTTTACAAAAATAAAATGTGTTAAAACCCAGAACCTACTTCTAAGTTGAATATATTTACATATAGTATGTCTATAAAAAGAAAAACTAAAAGACATTCTCTGAGGAGTGCAGGCAGTCCTCACTTTGCATGGTTCAGGATCGTAAAAATGACAATGCAAGCTGAAATCATACAAAGAGATCTTAAAAATCAATTGGGAAAATGACCATTTTTCTAAGACTCTAAAAACATTTGTCAAAACATGAGAAACTCTTCTTTGGGGTTATAAATGTATAAGGAAATGACAAAACAGTAAAACAAAGATTTATTTAATGCACTGTAATTGAAGACACTAGAAACACTGAGAATTAAAATGTTTTGGTTTTTTGTAGAAAAACAAATTAAGAGTAGTTTGAACAGTGCTTGCCTTCTCACTGTGTAACTTAAGATACAGAGCAAGCATCTTCTCTCTGTCTTGGCGGATTGTCACATTTCTTTCTAAATTTGGGTCACCTTCCAATACATTATCCTTTGCATTTTGAATGTCATGATATTCTTCTCAGATTTCCTTTAATGTGAAGTTTTGCTAGTGCCACTTCCCCGAGGACCTTCTTCGTTTATATCAACGAGTGTGTTTTTACTGAGTGCCTCTGGCTATGTACCTTGAGTGTGTCAAACTGTGGCACTGTCAGCGTTCCCAGGTCAGCTATTTCTTCTATAACTCCAGTTAACGTTTAATTCGAATTTCTCTTCCAGGATTACCACTTTTTATTTCTTTACTGTATATTCATTCACCTTTGTTGACCAATTTCCTCTTTTGATTATCCATTTTTATGTCACATGGATTTATCACTGGGAGACAAGGAGGCAGCACACTTATACACTTTGCAGTCTGTGTATGGACTGAATAAAAGATGTGCAGTGACCAATCGTTGACAAACTTTGAAAGAAATGATGTGATTAATCACTGATTGTGGTACATATGTATAGCCTACTAGCGATTTGGAGACTAAATAACTAGCAGTATATGAATGTGAAAGTCTGTACTTCACGCAATAACACATGGTTAATATACCTTGGTACTGATGACAAATTGATATTGTAATGGAGTAATGACAGTCAGGCACAGAAAATTGAGTTGGATGGCCATTGAGGACCTGGGCTCAGACACATCTCTGCACTGCTAAGAACTTGAACTTTCTCTGAACTGTACCAGACCCCAGTTCTGGCACACCACCAGCCATATTCAGAACAAACACCTGCCAGCTGCAACCTTAGGGTCTCAAGGTCTCCCCTTGTAACTATGCAACCACTTCGGGCTCCAACCAGTCTAAGCGTCTTCACTTCCTCACTTTTTGTCAGCTCCAATTTTAAATCTTGATAAACAACTCATGTGACTAACTGTGCCCTTGCAGGTTTTTGTCTTTATAAGCCTTCCCACCCCCCAATTCTGGCAGAACTCTGAGAAGTGCTTCTTGAAGTCTGTTTCTCTCAGGCAGCAGTCCTAACAAACCCCAAATTAAACACATTTTTATTTCAATCAGGTCTCCTTTTCTGACACTTTGGCTATCAGTAACTAAAGTTTGAACCCTGTTGTTGGGAAACTGGTGTTATTTAACTAAACCTTGGAAACTGATATTCATGTGTATCTGAACCATGCAAAGCAGGGCTGCCTGTGTTTT